TGGCAGATGCCATATGCTGTCATGAGGTACCATTACCTGTAGGTATTATGACAGATGCCATAATGTTTATAATTATGACCACTTATTGTGCACTCTAGATCTAGATTACCTTATAAAAAGAGCCACGCGTTTAAGTGCACTTTTACAAAGTGTATTCAATATGAGGTGTATTTCTAATATTTACATTTTAAACATACTTTAATATATAGGTCATTTTACAGAAACGTCCACTTTTTATCTATCCATAGGAGTCACTGGTGCTACTGATCGTCATTGGTGTTACGCATAAGAAAGGTAACACCAGAGACAGTACAAAAATGGCTGCTACAGAGCATCAAACCTCATGTTGTCAATCATGGAATATCCACTAAAATATGTAATTTAATCCATTTGTATTCTATTTTTTCACAACTACCTCAGAATAAAGTCGGTCACACCAGTGACGTCAGCTAAAAGCTTCATATGAAATCATGAGCTAAATGAGAATCTCTGATAACTGAAAGACACAGTGGACTCACCATGTGCTTTTCTTCATAGATCCTCAGAAAACAGGTAAAAGGAAGTCAAGTGATGTCATCAGTGTGACTTTTATTTCAAAATAAGAGATTTTTTGTTATGTAGTAACACCAGTGACACGACTCCTGGGGACAACTTTCATTATATATTTAATAATATTTATTTGGCTTTTGATTTCTTTATGTCATTTAAATCATATATTTCATAGTTATGTTAAATTATTTCAGTTAAAATTGCAGAAAAACAGATTTTTACCTCAAAATATGGCCTCAGCCTTCACACACGACTGTGAGGACGAGCTCTTCTGTGGAGGATTTCTATATGATTGATTTAAAAACCAGTATTGCTAAATTGAGGCTCAAGAAGGTGTAACTGTTAAAATAACAATATAAAATATAAATAAATTGTAACCCTGACATGTTTTTCAAGTGTAATATATCTGTAAAGGCTAGGGACACAAAAATGGACATTTCTGTAGAATGACCCACATACTAAATGTATTATTTTGGATCACCTTAAGTATATTTCAATTTTAATTAAGTTGTAATTAGATATTTTTTAAATTCAATTCCTTGCGCTTTTGATGGCTTTTTTAAACCACTTAAGTAGACTGAAGTATGGAATTTGTGGACTCTTATTTATATGTTAGAATATATTATGAATATACTACTGGATACTGATACACATCAGTGCTGCATAATTGAAATGTACAGAAATGCATTTTAATTTAGACTTTGATTTCACTAATACACTCAACAAACATGAGTACTTTTATAAATCCTAAAATATACACTTATTAGGAAAAACTAGACAACTTTTATATATATCTACCTAAAAAATTACTTCATGTGGTAACAAGTAAATTAGCTAGTTTTATTAAACTCAAAAAATTACTTTGATTGAAAGAATCATGGGCAGCACGGTGGCGCTGTGGGTAGCGCTGTCACCTCACAGCAAGACTGGCCTGGGTTCAATTCCCGGCCGGGCAACTGGGGTCATTTCTGTGTGGAGTTTGCTTGTTCTCCCCGTGTCTGCGTCGGTTTCCTCCCACAGTCCAAAAACATGCAGTCAGGCCAATTGGACATGCTAAAATTGCCCCTAGGTGTGATTGTATGTCTGTCTGCCCTGCGATAGACTGGCGACCTGTCCAGGGTGTATCCTGCCTTCTGCCCAATGACAGCTGGGATAGGCTCCAGCACCCCACCGTGACCCAGAAGGATAAGCGGTTTAGATGATGTATGTATGAAAGAATCCTTCATTCAAAGTATGGATTTAGGCTACATAAAACTAGTTTATTTACTTGTTACCACATGAAGTAAGTTTTTAGGTAGATCTGATGAGCCACTTTTTACAGTGTAGAGATCTAGTCCTAAAGTTTTCCCATGTTTTTTCTCTGTTTCTCAAAGGGTGTAGTGTGGTGGGATGATTTGATGAGATCAGTGGCCCCACTGTGCATTTGAAGAATGCATCCTTTTATACTACAGGACATGTTTAATTTTGGCTCTTCTCAGATTTAAGCAAATGCAAATCCAGTTACAAGTGTTAATGCGATATTTCACCGTATGCGAATCTTATTACTTGTGCAAGAAAAAAGCAGCGTAATAATTTGCACCAAACTTCTCCATGATTAACCCTCAGAGGCAGAGAGTTTATATAGCTGTTTTTCTGTACATTGAAGTTACATTATGTATTAAATGTAATAACATAATTACACAAAAAAGTGTTGAAAATAATATACATCCAATTACACTATGCATTGACAGTTTTGAAAAATGGCAACAATGTAATTTTCAATTAATAAAGTATCTATTCTTGTACACATGAAAAGAAAGGTGGTTTGAGCTGCAAGTAATTAGTATGAAATTAGATCATACTTGTGTCATTGCTTGTGATAACTGTGTCTTTTAGGGGTTAATGAATGTTGCATTAAGGCTGAGCTATGTTTCTGCATCAGGAAACACGTGTGGGCATTGTGCGCAGATGTTTGCAAAGATTTCTGCAAACATACCTGCACATAACATGACAATGGGTGCTAGGGGTCAGTGTCCAAACCAGAGTGCACAGAAAACAAAGTCTAATGTTCTACTTTCTCGTGGTTGCACCACTTCCACCAACTATTCCTTAAACTGTTCTATTCAAATTTTGCACTAGTTGTCGTTGAGTATTGTTCGGATCTTGTCCCACCATCAATGTTGGTTTGATGCACAGCTCTATATTGTTTTAACCTGTTAAAATCCCAGTATTACTACATACTAAGCCTTATTATACAGTAACTACAGGGACTTCAGTGCAAACTGACTGAGCTATTCTTAAGTTATATAAATGGCTATTTAAGGGGTTAACTTAAAAAAGTTACTGTTTGGGCTTCTTTGAAAAATAAAAAGTTAGTTAATTGAGTTTTGCATGGTAAATTACTGGAGTAAGAACCTGTGTTTTTTGCCCTATCAACTTATTATTTGTAGTTCAAATAATTTAACATTTAGGCCCAATCCCATTTCTTCTTTTTACACCTACCCATTGTTTTGGAGTGTCACCCTAACCCCTTGGAACTGGGTTACAAGGTGTAGTGGTTGAAATCTTGTCCTACGAAATGGGACAACCCTAAATTTAGAAAAAAGAGCGTTACTTCATTAACAGCTACTAGTGCTGCTCTGTAGGTGACCCGGCCCAACTTCAGTGATAGCAGAGGAGGGTAAAGTTCAGCTCCTCACTGCTGGGCTTTAGTTACATTTAGGGCACCATATGACTTCAAAGACAAGTATTTATTATCATCGATCGCTAATTCTTTGGTGATACGAAGCTGAAGTCAGATATTCACCAGCTTCTTATTCGAATTTTCCTGTTCCACCTTAAACGGTGCAGCAGTTACATTCTGGCACTTTAGGAGTCAGAACTGCTGGACTATTTAAGGCGGAGAAAATACTCACATTTCTGGGTTTCTCTGGTCTCTTGTTCAGCCATCTTGCCGGTTTTCCTTTTTTTTTTTCAGAACACTCTGTTTGGAGTGAGTCTCTGAAAAATCTCCGTTTGGAGGGCCATGTAGCCCCAACACTTCACCCTACTCCTCTATCTCAACAAAAATTTGGACACCCTAGAAGTGAACGCGCAAAACAGAGGGCTAAGTGGTAGGGGCGAGGGGTGAAATGGGATTGGGCCTTTAAAGCAGACTGTAAACTATTTTTCAAGTTAAAACCCCCAATTTCTTTACAGTGTGCAGATTTACACAGCATGTAGTTGACATTTCAGGCTGATTTATACTTTTGCAGATATGTACATAAATGTGACTCCGTTGAGATGCAGAAGGGGTTCATAGGGAAGTGTAGCTTGCAGAGGCTCACAAGCCACCATGTACAAACTCCAAAATCTCAACATGTCTTGTGAATCTGCGAAGTTATGCATCAAGTCGATGTTGATTGTTAGTCCAGGGGTGTTGGGGGTGGGATGACACCCAAATGATACTCAACCCAAACCAGAATCAGCACGAAATTTAAGGGCTTATTTACACCTTTGGATCGTGTTCAGATCTCACCTGAATTAATGAAAAGCCAGGATGCATCCTGACTGGATGACAATCGGATTGCTTAAATCATATTTGGAGGTGGTCAGAGATGAACCTTGAAGTGAAAATGGGATGCGATGTAATATCTGTTCAATACAGTTGCATAAGCGGCTGCCAAGTACTGACTATACAGTGAGAGAATAAACAAGAAAATGCAAAAAGGAGGATACATGAGGCTGAACTTATCCCAAAACTGAGCACCTTCTTGCAATCTGGGCTCTGGGCCAAGCTTATCAACTCGTATAGTACTGGGGGGAAAAAGTAGAATAAATAAATAAATAAATAAACTAACATGGAAATGACATGTGTTGATGTGCCCTTTGTGCTGGTAAAGTACAACAGAATCTCATCTGACTTTACTGCCGACCCATTTTAGTGAAAAGTGTAAATGGAATCTAGAGCAATTTTACCCAAATACAGTCCAAACATGAAACACAAGTTTGTGCTTTGTCTTCAATAGAGCAGCTCATAGATCAAATGGCACAAGAAATGCGACGTAACATGCATTTATATAGAGAGAGCAGAAAAACGCATGACTTTCCACTTCATTTCCGTTTTACATTGTGGTTTGAACACTGCCCCCTAGTGCTCAAGTTCATGTTAAGTGCAAGTATGTTGGCAGACAGCCCTGCAAACGCCAGTGCACAATGCCTGCACATGTTCACAGGTTCACAAAGTATAATTCAGCCTTTTGGAAGAAGGCACACTATGGCCTCTGAGGGCCTCTGCAAACTATACTTACCCATGAACCCCTTCTCAGCATCTCCAGGCATATACATTTACATCTTCACTGAAGTCTAAATCAGCTTTTACAGTAAAGAAAATGTGCAGCACATTACGTAATGCCTGTAAAACCCTGTGAATGGTAAAATGTACACAGCATTTGCAGTAGAGATCATTTCCTTGTGTCTTCTTCTTTCCCCAGTGGGACGCCATTAATGAAATGGACGAGTACTTCAGCCCCATCCATACTTACCAAGTGTGCAACGTCATGAGCCCCAACCAGAACAACTGGCTGCGGACGAACTGGATCCAGCGCAACGGCGCCCACCGCATCTACATCGAGATCAAGTTCACGCTGCGGGATTGCAACAGCATGCCTGGAGTGCTGGGAACGTGCAAGGAAACGTTCAACCTCTACTACTACGAAATGGACCGTGACATGGGCGCCACCATGTGGGAGAGCCAGTTCTCCAAGATCGACACGATTGCGGCTGACGAGAGCTTCACCAACGTGGACCTGGGGGTGCGGAGACTCAAACTCAACACAGAAGTGCGGGGCGTGGGGCCGCTCAGCAAACGAGGCTTCTACTTGGCCTTCCAGGACATCGGAGCCTGCATCGCCATCGTTTCCGTGCGGGTTTATTACAAGAAGTGCACAGGCATGGGTCGGAACTTGGCCGTGTTCACGGACGTGGTCACGGGGGCTGACTCGTCGTCGCTGGTGGAGGTCAGGGGTCAGTGTGTGGACCATGCTGAGGAGAGGGACACACCCAAGATGTACTGCAGCGCTGAGGGGGAATGGCTCGTTCCTATTGGGCGATGCGTGTGCAGCGCTGGCTTTGAAGAACACAGGGAGTCTTGCATTGGTGAGTGACATTGTGACACGTTCTAGCATTTTGAGCAACACTGTGTAGATCATTCCCACATATATTCTGCAAGTAAAGGACCTAAATCTATACACTTAAAAACAATGGTTCTTCAAGAGTTCTTTAGTGAAGAAAATAGTGTAGAACCATGAACACTCAAAAAACCCTTTGCATGATTAAAGTGTTCTTTGCATCATGAAAAGGTTCTTCAGATTGATGGAGAATGTGCTGTACATGGTTCTATATAGAACTTTTTTAAAAAGAGTTCTATATAGTCCCAGAAAGGTTCTGCTATTGTTATAAGCTCAATATCATAACAATAAAAGAACCCTTTATGTTGCTATTTAGAACACATTTCATGTTGGCCTGAATATGTGTACAGCATTCTGGTGATATTGGCATGGCTCATAAAATCGGACCAAATATTAGAAAACAAGATTTACCAAAAACAGTGAAAATGGTTCTATATGGCACCAAAAAGGGTTCTTCTATTATTACAACCTTTTTCTATCAGTCCTTTTCTATTATTAGAACACATTCTCCATCAGTCTTCAATGCAAAGAACGCTTTAATGACGCAAAGGGGTTCTTCTAGTGTTCATGATTCTATTTAGAACCTTTTTCTTTACTACAGAACCCCTGAAGAACCATTATTTTTAAGTGTGTAGGCTAAAAGTCTTGAGGTAAATCAAAGAATGTCAATGTGAACTACATTACACCATAAGCCAAAATGACGAAAATAACATCTAGTTATTTTACAGGAATTCAATCACTAACATATCAAATATGGACGCTGAAAACACATCAAAAGCATCAAACCAAGAGAAATTAAAATCATTTAATGGCTGATTTGTTAACTGATAGCAAGAGGATACTGGGCCACTGTTAGCCCACTGATGCCAAAGCTGGCGGCCCACTGGTATTTTGCTCAGTGTTTTCCGGGCAGCCTGCCGGTGTTTACGCAGAGTGTTAGACCAAATTACACTTATTATCACTCATTTTCCACTCAGTCCTATTTACTTATGTTTCCTCCCTTTTTTTCTTTAGTTATACTTTGTAAACTAGTTTATTAAATAATTCTAACCCTTGTGTGATGTTCAGGTCTGTGGGACCCTTTTTCAATGTTTACCAAAAGAAAAAATGATGTGATTTATTATTATTTCAACCTCAGATTCTTGTCCTTTGCTCATTTTCTGTGAAGAACATATAAAATAATCCATCTTCAGTGTCTTCACTCTGTTCACCCCCCACACATTTATATTACACGTGGTGTTGGGTGAACCTGCGGGGAGTAAAAGTGTGGAGGTGCTGTGTCCTTCACTCTGTTCTCCTCCTACATGGCCTGCTGTTAGTGTGTGTGTGTGTGTGTGTGTCTGTGTGTGTGTTTGTGTGAGGGTGGACAACATGGACAGGCTGCTGACTGGCTACAGCTGCTAAAGGGGAACCCTATGCTGGACATTTGTGATTTGGACAAAAGCAACAATATTTTCTATAAAATCATTTTATATTAGGCCTTGTCATGATTTTCTCTCTCGCTGGTGTTTGTAAAATTTGTTTTAGTTTACTTTCTAAAATTAAAGGCTATGTGCCTTTAAAATCTGTTTGAGGAGATTAAAAACTATTTGTTTGCAGGAGAATAATCTGGTTGGTCCAAGGGTGCCGACCTTATCACGCCAGCGGTACCTATGCTCGCTCTCTGGGTTTTGGAAAACATTAAGCCAATTCACACTAGAAAGTAAAACCAATAAGTTGTAATCCTACTGGTTTCTTTTGGTCCTTTTTCAGTAGGAATGTTCGAGGTTTTTATTAGTTTCTGATCAAATAAAGTCTCAGCTTTCATACTTGTCTCAACATTGTGAAGTAGAAACAATTAATACAGACTAGAAGCTCTCAAACATAACAGAATAACACATTCGCTGCTTTTGAGAGAAGACGTCACCAATGTGTGATTTGCGTGTGCATGTACGTGTGAGTGACTGAAAAAGTGTTAATGTTGCCTTATGTTCTCATTTATTTGATTATTGTTTCATTTTTTCAACTGTTAGGGCTCTTTTTTAACATTTAAATGATCATATCTCTCTAATAGGGGAGCAAGGATAAAATCCTCTTTATTGAAATATTAAAAACTCATGGTTCTGGGTCAAAATGAGTCAAAATGAGTCAACAGGATAAAGCTGGTCATTACTGAAGCCGGTTATTTCCTATATGTCTATTTACTGTCCTGTTGCTTTATTGCTGATAGACTGACCTCGTTTGGCCACCTTTGCATGTCTTAGGCATTTTAATGTTATGGTAATAAGATACAATTAATTAAGCCCATCGGGTAATTAAACATTAAGCAGCTAAAAGCAGACGTTCGTAGATAAGTTATGGAACAGTAGCTCTAGCAAAATGTCCACGTCGCCTGCTTTCCTTCCATGCAATCCAGGCTCTTCTCGGTTTGACTTGTTTTGACAGCTCACTGGTAAAGCACTTCCCCAATTCTGAATTATGCAGCATTGCTGAGAATGTCTCTGTGCCTATAAGGTTTGGAAGCTCTCCATTAGCATTTTGTGTAAAGATCATTTCATGCTTTCATTGCCACCCACAACTGTTTTACTTAGAAGACGTATTATTGTAATAGACTAGAAGTATGGCAGGACCATTTTTAAGACTTTAAAGCTGTATGTATGTTTTTTCATGCTACACTCCGCCTCACTCTAGGCTGGATTAAAGTGGTCCTTTAGGCATTAATCCAATCTACCCAATTTTCCTCTTAGCCTAACTGATCACTCTCAAAAAGTGGACAAAAGTGCATTGCATAGCTGAAAACAGTAGCCAATTTGAAGGCAGAATTTTATCAAAACACTCAGAGCTTTCTAGGAATTTAGAGGCCTAATAATTTCCCTGAATTAAAATAAATGTCTATAATGTCTAAAATAAATGCCTATAAAACTCTTGAAGTGTTATTTGGTTGTTTTTTGGTTAGATGAAGGGTTAAACTCTTGAGAGGCCAAAAGAAAAATGAACCAGTCATTTTCCACCCTGTATCTAGATAGACACACTGTAAATAAATAAATCCGTAAATAAAATGTACTGTAAAGTTAACAGAAAATTCTGTCATTCCTTTAACAGAAAATTCACATTACATATTCTCTGAATCTACAGGACAATTTCTTCATTTCAAATATGGAACATTTCACAATTTTACTGTTTTATTAGTAAAAAAGTGTTTCTTTCAGGTTACTAGTGAAAAATATGTACCATATATCTGTATCATCCTCTAGAACCCAACCATTATACTGGTTGGCTCATAATATCCCCCTTTATGAACAAGCTACAGATTTAGCAGTATCAGTAAAAATGCTGTTATAATGTAGCAATGATTTCTGACTTTTTCTGGGCTGTGGAATTACTAGAATTTAAACACACGAATTCCTGTAAATCAAGCAAAATGTTACGAGATTGTGTAGTGCATGTTAAGGTAGCACCTGCTAAATTTCACTGTTTCTTTTATTGTGGCAAGACAAGCTTATTGATACATTTAAACACAAAACACATCATGATGAACAAAACAAAAACATGTTAAATGTATCCAACCTTTGCTTCAGCATGAGGATAAAAATCTCAAAGAATTCTGGGTAACTCTGCCCTCAGTGGTACAATAAAAGCTGATTACATGCAATAAAATCACCATCATTACAAATGAAAGATAGAAGATTTTCACTTTTCAGGATTTGCCCTGTATATCTGCCATAAAGCTTTCTACTCCTTTAACAAGAAATGTTCAGTATTTATCAGTGAAGCTAACAAGCTACTGTTTGTTGACATTAGCTAATGAAAATTAGCTTGTTTTCATAACCTTGAACTCTTTTCATGTCTACTTTATGGACAAAACATTGTCTGGGAAACACTGACACTGACTGAGATGCCATAAAGAGTCACAGGAAAAAAAAAACAGCTAACTCCATGCTAAAGCATTTGACAAAGCAACAGCTATATGTACACTACCATGTTAACGGATGGTCTGTTAGCCCCTTAATAATATTTTAAGCACTTTAAAAATAAGAGGCAGACAATGAACAAATGGCAATGTTTAGTATAGTAGTTAAAGGGCTTTTCAGGGCACATTAGGTCATATCTAGCATAGCAAAGGGTAACATGTGTAAACCGCAGCTGGAGATAAGTGCCACTATAGTGAGCAGCCTCTCTTTCTCTGGCTCTCTCTGGATTAGCGTCACAGCTTGGCAGCTCCTCTTTTATGTAAAGAGTTCCTGCAGCAGCAGCGCTGTTTCCCACTCCATTTCTCCTACCTTTACTCAGTTAAAGGTACTCAAACCCAAAGCTTGCGGTTATATTCATTTATTCAAAAACAGAAAAAAGGCTTTAAATCATAGTTTTTTCTACACTATTGGCTAGTGGACATTTAAAGTTGTACTATATACGTTTTGGGAATTTGGAGCCCTCTCTGGTGGAAATGTACAATTGCACCTAGCTACTTTTTCACCACTGTGATAAATTCAAAAGTTGTTAATATCTTTGTTTCTACAAGACAATATATATATATATATATATATATATATATATATATACGGTGAGTAGATTGTAGCCCAATAGAATCCAAAGGGCTGTGCTGGAAAAGGAAAGAACTGTGCCAAATATACACAAGACAAGACAAGGTTTGGTTGGAACAGTCATGACAGCAGCCAAACTCACTAGCGCCATCTTGGAAAACTCAGAATTTATACAGTGTTTGTATCATAACTTGAAGTCCAGGAAATAGTGCAGAGTAAGAATTTCATTGTAGAGGGCAACTGCCTGTTTGTCTGTGCATATAGCAACAAACTACTGAATCTTGAATTTTATGATTATTCTCCAACTACCACTTAAGTAATAAAGCCAGAGGCCACTGGAGTCTATAATTGAATGTAAAATTTTGAACACCCATGGTCAAATTACATGTTTTATTTACAAATAAGGAATGAATAAGTAAATAATTAAAGTTTAGCTTAAAGCTGGATG